GACCTGGGGAGGTGCAGGGGCAGAGCCCTGAAATTTGGGGGTGGGGTTGTCTTACCAAAGGTGTCCCCTTACGGCCTGGCAGTGGCATCACAGCATCCAGAGGAGGAGGAGGTCCCCAAGAGGGCCTGGGGGGCTGCATGTCACGGGGGGTGGCAGTCCCACAAGTGTTCTCCCATCCCCACAAGAGATTTCCTTTGCCAGAGGTGTCTCCCCAGCCCACAAGTGCCCCCTCAGCCCCTCGAGTGACCGCTGACCCACAACGTTCCCCCCTACCCCACAAGTGACCGCCCCGGGCCACAAATTACCACGTGAGCCCAGAGGGGCACATCCAGGCCCCTCAAGTGACCCCTCTGACCCACAAAAGGGCTCCCCAGCCCCACAAAGGTGCCTCATGACCCTCAGCAGCCCCCAGCCTTCGATTGACTCCCTGGCTGACAAGCACCCCCCATGACCCTCAAATGACCCAATGACCCACAAGTGACCCCATGGCCCTCAACCGGGCTCCTTGCCCACAAATGACCCCATGACCCTCAAGGGCTCCTCTGGTTCCTCACCCAGTGGCTGCTGCCATGGCGCCCCCTGTAGGGCATCATGTGCATGGCTCCTGACTAGCTGTGGGGGCCTCACAGGGGTCACGTGACCTGAAGCTGGGCCCTCCCTGGCGCGGGTCCTCAGGAAGCGCCTCCCTTGCAGGGCATCCTGGGAGCCGCGTGGCTTCCAACATGGTGCACACCGCAGAGCCCTGAGGCCGTCATATGACCACCAAAATGGTTCCTGCAGCAAAGGCTCATGGGAGTCTTGCTTCCCATTGGGTGGCAGCCCCTGGTGCAGAGGGGCACAGCAGCTGCTGCTGATTTGCCGCGGGGCATGGTGGGAGTTGCATGACTGTGAGCATAGTGCCCACTGCAGGGTATCCAGAGAGCTGCTTCCCATTGGCCAGAGGGTCTTGTGGGAGTCATGTGGCCTCCACCATGGATCCTGCCACAAGGGTTCCTGGGAGACAGCCTGGGGGGAAGAC